TATCCAGGAGAATATTAAATAAATTAATTTCTTTTAAAAAATTAAAATTTGTACTTGACTTTGTGAAAGTGTTTTCAATTTTATTGCAATATAATTGACATATAACATTGCATAATGACATGACTTACATAGAGAAATGATTACCATAATACGTTTAGTTAACATCCACCATCTCATACAGATACGAAAGAGAGCTGTTTTTCTTTCCTTTTGATGAAAAGGAAACATTGTGTTTTAATAAAATAAATGGTAGCATTAATCTTCCCTCTAAACTTTCTTCCCAACCATTCTTTCCAGATTATGCTTTCATTACAATCTAGAGTAAACTCAGAAGTACTTCTAGAAATGTTTTGGAGGTATATAATGGATACTGATAAAATTGTCTTCTCAGTAGACACTTTTTTCTTTTCTCTGGAACTCCATTCTCTGACTGCCTAAACCTTCCCCCACCCAGATTCATTGTGGAAGAATCAATGTTCTTACATGACCCTAAGAGTTTGGGCAAAGTTGATTAGTTCAAGGATGAGTGCCTGACTCAACATGGACCAATGAGTTGTAGTGTTTTAGGAGGAAATACCCCTATATTATGAGATTCTGAATGCCGATTGTCTCACAACCTAAAATTCACCCTAGTAACTGTCATAAGTGGAAGGGCAGTTTACAAATTTATACTCCCAGCACCTTGCAAAATGCATGACAAATTGGGTGCTGAATAAATACTACTGAAATAACTAAAATAAATATTTATCCTTTTTATGGGATCTAAGCTCACTTAAGCCCATGTAAGGTTTTTACTAATTAATGACATTGAAAATGAGACAATTCTCTAATGTCAAAAGAATAATTTATAAGGATACAGGGACATGTATCAGATGACCAAGAGCAGAGATGCTGCTTATGAACTCTGTCAAGCCTGTATAATACACCATATAGAAAACCCAGAGAATTTTCTATGACTCCTCCATTTTGTCTGCAAGGCAAAAAAAAAAAAAAAAAAGTGAACTTTACATTACCTCTGTTTAAGAGAACAGTCGGTGACAAATTGAAATCTCTTAATCCTGATTTTAAACTCCCAAGGAAAAGATTTTGATTGGTTCAGCATGAGACAGTTTCCAAACTATGGGCAAATCAACTGTGGCCATGGGTTAAGGTGATATTTTACAAAGCCCCACTGTTAATTGTGAATTGTAGAGTAAAAAAAAAAGAGGAGCAGTTACTAGAAAGGGTGGACAATCAATAGCTGTGAAGTTTATAGAGCTTTAGTGTGAGGATTCCAGGGACCAGAGCAATTCATAAAAGTATACTAAATGTAGACCTTTCAGAGCCACACATAGACTACAATTCTTTGTTTGAGACTGGAATTTAATATAGAGATGAATGTGAAAGGGGACAGTGTGGGGAGTCACTTATGGACATGTGAAAACGTATAACAAGAAACAAGGATATTTGTGTACTTGGCAACAATGTAAGAAGTTGAGATTGTAAAGCGCTGGGAAAAACCGGGAGGTAACTGTTCACATAGCAATCACTGCACATTCCTTGCTACAGTTTAGCAGAGAGTTCTGAGTTGTGAGAATCTCATTGTTCTACTAGATAAGTAATCTGGCTAACCTTGGTTCTTGACTACTGTCTTTCTTATTGTAATGTTATAAATAGTGTGTTCTAAATAAACTCGGGGACACAGACACAGCTTGATTCTGTGATCCCTCCTGCAATTCTGTCTGTCTTCTTTCTTTTCCTCAGTCCATGCTCCCCCTTTCAGGTACCCTCAATTACTTCATCGGCTGGCTCCGACAGGACAGAAATTTCTTGAAGTATGTCAATTACTTCAAGTTTGTATGTGACTTTTCTATTGCCTGGAAAGACCTTCTACCACTTTTCCTGTGGCAGATTCCTTTTTGACCTTTATGTTTCAATGTAGATGTCATGTCTTTCAGAAAGTCTCTCTTAATTCTCCCAAGATTAGGTTAACTGGCCTTCATATGGCATACTTACTTTAGGAAAGGTAATTTGCCATAGGCCCTGAACATCTCTGAACATTTTTGCTGGGTATGCCAAGAATGTTAAGTCCTTGAACAATCTTTACCCATGTCATTTCTCAGGGTTGTGTTTGCATCAAGCAACCGTGAAGGATGAGATAAAATTTCCCCATCAATGAAGAGCAGGCTTAATTCACCTTACTCTGAAAGTGGCAATCCCCTAAATTCCGTGTGCTTCTCTTGCAATACAGGCAACCATGAGAGGCCTTTTGCATTGTTCCCACTGAATCTGGGGAGAAAGGGCGCATATTGGTTTACTAGGGCTGCCATAACGAAATATCAGACTGAGTGGCTCACACAACAGAATTTATTTTCTCACTGTTCTGGAGGCTAGAAGTCCAAGATCAAGATGTCTACAGGTTAGATTTCTCCTGAGGCCTCTCTCCTCAGATTGCAGATAGACGCCTTCTCACTGCATCTTCACATGGTCTTTCTTCTATGCCCAAGCATTCCTGGTGTCTTTCTGTGTGTCCAAATTTCCTCTTCTTATAAAGACATCAATTAGATTGGATTAAGGCCTGCTCCAATGCCACACTTTTAACTTAATTATCTCTTTAAAGGCCCTGTCTTCAAATACAGTCACATTCTGAAGTATTGGGTTAGTGCTTCAACATATGAATTATGGAAGAACATAACTCATCACGTATCAGGGAACATGGGAATTCAGCACAAACCAACAGGAAGCTCTGGATACTGCTTTTGGAGTGAATGATAAAGTTCTCTATCCCTGACCCAGGAATCTTGTATCTTTTGACAGCATCCTTGAAACAATAAAGACCAACTTGTTAGCTTATCAGTAGAATAAATCCCAGACTCTGCACAGTTCTTGACACTCATATTTAGCACCTATCACACTATTTACATTGTCTTTCTTGTCCACTAAACCACAGGAGCTTTGAAGTCAATGTATAATGTCTAAAATATAGTAGACAGTGAGTAAATGTTTGTTTAGTGAATGAAATTTGATTTATGATAAAGACTCTGGTCAAGGCATTTGTCAATCTGAAGAGATACGCTTTTTAAGATATGGATTAAGATGAGAAAGAAAACAGGGTGGTTCAGATTTAGTACTGCTAAATGAGTGTTCAGATACAATTATATGGCTTCTCTGGTATGTTCTAAAAAAAAAACCTGAGTGTTACCACAGGATTATATAATTTATTAGGCCATATATTACTACTATCCAGTACCAGCTAACCCTCAGATTATTTCTCTGGGAATTTTTTTAAGTTTGATTTTGGAAAAATGTGAACAAAATGTGTTCCAAATAATTTTTTTTAAGTGATAGCTAGAGCAGAGCAAAGCTTTCAATTCAAAGCATGCAGGTACTTCACAAAATAAAATTTAGCAATGAAAGTAATACCAAGTAATGCCACACTTTAGCTCTAAAATTTGCCAGTGATTTACTACGAGTTCCTGAATATCTTTCCAAAGTATAAAGAACACTAAAGTACAAAGTGCAAAGAACACTAAAATAGGTCAAAGTGCAAAGAACACTAAAATAGGTAAAAATATGAGAAAGATTTTGCCCTGGTAAAGCTTGGTCATAGCAAGAATGCTGAGCAGCTCAATTGAAGTGGGGAGATGAAGAAAGGGATGCCCAGGGCCTGAGTCTGGCATTTCTGTACTGAGAAACTGCCAAGGGGGTGCAGAAGCTTCATGTCTAATCTGGGATAAGATTTCCCCTCTGCTCACCCTAGCCTGAGAAGAATCTTTATATTCTTTGAATAGATTTATACCATAAGTAGAAAAAAAGAGAAATAATTAACAAATGTGGATTAAATGGTCAAAAAAGAGAGGCAGACAGCGGCTTCTAGCTATTAGAGCCCCTGCCAGTCTCTTCCCAGATCCAACTTCCAGCTTTTACGGAGTTGCCAAAACCAATCATTCCTCATCAATTACAGGGGACAGAAGCTTCCTGACTTTGAGGTGAAGCTCCCCCACCAGGCTCCAGGCAAGGCCTGACCCCAGCTTGTGCTACAGAGTGCCCTGCTCTTTGCTCCTCCCTTGGGCTTGAGGCTTGGTCCCAACTCAGTTGATGCTCAGTAAATACTTGTTGAAAGAAGGGAAACATAGGGAGCAGGGAATTTGGGAGAATCCAGGAAATCAACCCTTTGAGAGATATGGCTTAGCAGAAAACGAACAAGGAAGCACTCAGCCGACTGGCGTGAACAGATGGCAGTGAGAGGTGGTGTTGGGAGGGGAGCAGGGACGTGACATTTGCTCTGCATCTCGTAAAGCCAGTGAAATTCCTCGTCTGAAGGCATTTCTCTCAACCATATTAAGGTTCTTCTCTGCCGGGCCCTTTCGTCCCACAGCAGTCACCACTGTGTTTGCCTCCTTTAAAAACCGTTTCCTCTAAGTAATTGACAAATTCAAGCAACCGGAAGCGAAAGCCAGGCGTGCCAAGGCCTTGGCGATCAAGGGAGCCGAGTCTCACCCTTGGTCTCTCTGTGCGGGACCCAAGAGCCTTGTTCTCTCAGTGGGGTCTAAGAGGCCGGAGGGCGGGGGTGGGGTTGGGGGAGGGCCCACCTTCAACCCTCCGCAGTGCGCAAGGCCGGGGGCTGCCGGTCGCGCGCGCCCTGG